TCTTGCACAGCGATGTTTCTCTCCCTCCCTTTCTGTCCCTTCTCTCTAAATATAAAATCTTAAAAAAAAAAAAAAAAAAAAAAGGTCTCCCAAAAATAGCATCATAAAGAAGCCAATAGGCTGAGGGAAACATAGCAGAGGGATAACAGGAGAGGTCCTAAAACCCCCCCATCAGAGCAGGCAGTTCTCTGGACAAGTGATGGACTTCTCCTTTCAGGAGAAGTGACTCCGCCCAAGGGAGCGTGGAAGCTGGTTGGCTCCCAAATCAGAGCACAGACCTGCCTGATTGACTCTGCTGTCTAGTCATGACTCCAGGGTTCTTGCAGTAAAGATGCTTCCATAATTGGTTAAGCCATGGAACCTCGCCTGGGATCCTATGCTAACAAGGCTATTTAAACCCTTGCTGACAAGGAAAGCACAGCTGTTTTCCAGATGCCCATTGAAGAAGCCATCTACGTGCTTTCTCAGTGGACCTTAATTCCTCTACATTCCCCAGACACAGAAATAGGGGATATTGTTCCTAATGTTCATTATCATTGGGCATTAACCATCATCAATACACTCACGAAGTACTTTACAGTCATTTAGGTTGCCCAATATTCTACTACTTGGGAGAGGTGCTCTATTAAGGTGGGTTTCCCAGAAGCAGAGCCTGAGACAAAATTCAGGCCCTACGATTTATTGAGGCATGCTTTCAGGAGAAAAAGAATGAAAAAAAGCAGGAAACAGCCCTAGCTGGTGTAGCTCAGTGGGTTTCATGCCAACCTGTGAACCAAGAGGTCACCAGCTTAATTCCCAGTCAGAGCACATGCGCGGGTTGCAAGCCAGGTCCCCAGTTGGGGTTGTGCGAGAGGCAACAGATCAATGTATCTCTCGCCCATCAATATTTCTCTTCCTCTCTTTTTCCCTCCCTTCCCCCTCTTCAAAAAAAGAAAATCTTAAAAAGAAGAAGAGAAAGAAAAGAAAGCAAAAAATGGTAGGAAAGGAGAATGTGACTGCAGCTTTGTATCTGGCTTCAGCCTGATCCCCACAGGGAAACTCAGGAGCCTAAAAGCACCAAAATAACTGACCCTTCCTTGAGGTAAGGGGGATGGTCTTTGTACCTTCTTGGCTAAAAGCTATAGGGAGATACAGAAGGGCTCTTCCATCTACCAGGAGCAATTTTCTGGAGAAGGGCAGGCATCTGTGAGCCACTGGAACCCAATACAGCAGCTGGGGAAATGGACACACTGGTGTGTAAATGAGATTTGGGCCAGGTACCAACAGCATTCATTAGAGTTACTGTATTAGCTCTGGTTGTCATTACAAAATACGAGAGACTGAGCGGCTTATTTTCTCACAGTTGTGGAGGTTGAAAGTCTGAGGCCAAGGTGTCATCGTGGTTGAGTTCTTAGAAGGGCTTTCATCCTGGCTTGCAGAAGGCTATCTTCTTGTGTACTGAAGTGGGAGAGGGTATGTGGAAAGCCCTCCAGTGTCTCCTTTTCTAACAGCACTAATTCCATCATGACGGTCCCTCTCTTATAACCTCACCTAAACCTAATTATCTCCCAAAGATCCTTCTCTAAATATTCCCATACTGAGCGCTAGGGTTTTTTCATATGAATTTTAGGGGGACACAATTCAGTCCATAGCAGCTACCATTTTGTAAACAGGAAAAAGAGACAACTGTTAGCCAGATTTGCTCAGTGACAGCCATTTCCCTTGCACTTAAGTTCTTCTGGAATCCTATTTATTGACTGATGCAGAAGAGACGAGTTAAAATTGGGAAGTATTCTGTAAGTAACAGCAGAGGCATCAGTGTGTGATCCTATCCAGCTCAGGCTTTGAAGCTCAGGAGCGGAGCCATTAACATTCTCTTCAGCCACAGAGTTCTCTTCAGCCCTGGTTAGTTTTTTTTCTCCCCTTCCCACCTTTTCATCAAGATCAGCAGCTTCCTTATTTCTAGAACCTTCTCTTTTCTTCAAAGAGCTCTGGGCTCCTGGAAAGCCTGTGGCCAAGAGGCTTGCGAGATACTTCTGAATTCCCGATGAACAGACTGTGCTGCCTACTCTGCAGCTGAGAACCCAAGCAGGCCCACCTCCTCTCACTATAGGATTGAGCAAAGGACCATATAGGAAGCCACCTTCCTTCTGGATTCCTGGGCAGTGTGTAGTGGTTAGACCTGGGGTTATGGAGGCTATCCTGCTGAGTCCCCCAATTCACCCCTACTTCCGGATTTGGGTTACTTAGAGAAAGTCGGGTGGGAAAGGAGTCACAGACCCTGACCTCAGGGGAAAGGAATTCATCCACTGCCCATCCTTCAGTTTGAAGCCACTTTCCATTCTACGAGAGGAGGTGGGGAGGACTCTCCATTTCAAAGAAGCGGTCCTATAGGCCTGAGAGGGGCAGAAGAGAGTCCTCAGTGAGAGCACCAGTCACACCTCCATTATTTATTAAGAGTTGCCCTATATCCAGCTACTTCTTAAAAAATAGAAAGAAGTAATCTCAAGGAAGCTCAAATTGTACTATTGGCACCAAAGTAAATTTCTTAAGCAATCTATAGATTTTAGTAAGAAAAACTCCAGTGCCTGCAATTCAAACAGACAAGAGTGAGTTAGGCAGATGGTAACCCAGCTTCATTGTCCGAACTTTCCTCTTCAGACCTCCCTTTCCCATTAAGAGCACCTGGTTGTATTTCTGTGTCCTCTCCAAGGTTTTTCAGGGGTGAGGAGATCATGATGTATCCCCCACTGCCTAGGACTTGATTCTGTCATCTCTATATCTTCCGTCTCCTGTGCCCCACAGTTATCGCAGGCATACATGCACTCACTCCTTACAATTGCTTCTCCAGTAATTCCAGAGAGGCACATGAAAACAACTTTCCCAGGATCATATTTTACCAAACTACTCCGCAGACAGGACAATAGTTAAGTGCAACCATTTGTATTCATTTCCTTGTCCCTTCTGGCCACAGGCTGGGTCCAGCATCACCCAGCATCCCAGCCCAGGTGGGCTCAGAGATAGAGAGAAGGACTGCTACTCCACCTGCTGGCTTGACAGCAGCTCTGGGCTGCAGCCTTTGAATTTCTTACAACGCAGGCTCTGGCTCTGAACCAGGAGACGGAGACATCTTTTGATCACGATAAAGATATTCAGCCATTTTATCAAAAGTGATGACATCTACCCCCTCCTACTTTAAACCCACAGATACGGACATAAGTACAGCTGGAAAGCACAGAGCCAAGGATTATCGATTGAATAGGAGCTGGCTCTGCTCTAAACAAGCATGACTTTGAGGCTATAGCAGGGACCTGTGTATAACAAGAAAACAGCTCCAAACCACGGCAGGAGTGGGAGGTTAAGACGGGGTTTAGAAAAACATTGATGAACTAGACATTTTCTTTTCTTCTTTCCATTAAGCCCTTCGTCTCTACTTCCCTTCTTTATAGAAAAAAATGAATCCTCTGCAGATTATTTAACTATTCCCCAGGGGCCTATGCTCCATCCAGAGTCACTTTATGCTCACAATTTCTTATTTCTCTAACCTTACTGAGATAAAGAAAGGATGGGGGTCCATTTTGTACATGAGGACAATTAAGGTTCCTCAACAGAAGACAGATGGAGAAAACAATATTGCCTACTCAAGAAATTAATACCCAGAAATTAATCAGTTGGTTCCTAAAATCATTAACTACAGTAACTACATGGCTTTATTTGGAAGTGGACAGGCTCCGCTATGTAGTATCCATGTCACACCAAAGTGAGGTGCCAGCAAAGATGTAAATTTTCATAGAAACCTGTTGGAAAAATAATTATAAAACTTTAGCCCTGGCTGGTATAGCTCAGTGGATTGAGCGCGGGCCTGCGAACCAGACAATTGTGGTTCGATTCCTAGTCAGGGCACATACCGGGGTTGCAGGCCAGTTCCCAGCAGGGGACGCACGAAAGGCAACCATACAATGATGTTTCTCTCCCTCTCTTTTTCCCTTCCCCTCTAAAGATAAATAAATAAAATCTTAAAAAACAACAACTTTGAAACCTTCACCCATATCAAAGGAAAAAAGAAGATGGTAAACATGAAGGACTTATTTAGTGATAAGTATTGGTATGCTATGGGTACCCACCTCCAAAGAAGGGGGGACCTGCATTTCACTACAAGCCTAATGAGAAGGGGTTCAAGGGAGTTCCTTGGAGAGCTTTATATGTGTCTCCTGCAGTTAGAGGAAGAGGCTGAACTAATTTCTGACTCCAACCCAAGAAAGGTAGGGGTCATTGTATGGGCCAACAGCTGCTTTGCAATGTGAGAATCTGCCCACAGTCTCAGAACTGGTACCAGCAAAGACCTATTTCTCCCGGAGTAACTGAGAGTGAACTGTTGAATTACAAAGGGCTATAGAGAAAGAAAGCAGGTGACACGTACAGGTCAGGTGTGTGTGTGCATGGAGGGTAGTGCAGATCTCTAAAGAACCCACAAAAGTGTCCTGGGAGAACACCAAATTTAAACACGGGCCACTCGCCGAGAGCACAAAGCCAGCTTTAGCACCATGAGGCAAGGAGAATATTTCCTGCCACCTCTTACTTCCTTGCTCTAATCCTGGAAGAGTCAGAAACTTCAAAAAAGAAAGAACTATATCCCCTCTTTTCTCTTGCAGCAAGACCCAGATGGGGAAGGACAAATAGCTTAATCTTGAAAAAAACTGGAAAGACTGATAATACCTGGAATGACTACGTTATGTACCTGATTGAGATCATGTTTCACCTTGAAAAGTAACTGCAGGGCTTCCTGAAAGAAAAGGGTTTGTTCAGGAGCAAAGTTAGGACCATTTCTACTGAGCAGTTGTAAGGATTCGAGGGAGCCAAAAACAGTTTCTTTTGTGATTACATCCCATGAGTCCTGCTTGTCACTGTTCTAGTTATAATTGTAAAAATTGTTCTTCAACCTTTATTTTAAAAAGTAATAAAAGCACCAACAAAGGGATCATAACAAGTAGAGCTGTTGTCAGAGCTAATAGTTCTCCGTTTCGTAACAGCACCCTAATGTCCTTGTGGAAAACGAGGCCTTTGGATTCAAGCTCTGCCCACTTCTCCCCTTTCTTCTCAATTCCCTGAAGTATCCTATTCTCTCCTTCTGTTACCCTGCAAGTACGTACCACAGTTCTTAGCGAAGTTACTTTTAACGATGTCCTAATACTTCCTGTGCTGTCATAGTCCTGGCCCACACCCTGCCCATCCTCAGGGACAACACGGAATTAGAAATCAACACAGAATTTCAGAGTCTCCTCCATGGTAACACCGTCATCTTCTCAATTTCATCTCCTGAAGAGATACATCCACATACAAAGAAAATTATACACATGGATTCTCTGCCCTACAGTAAAGTACAACTTAAAACAGCTAACATTAAAAAGACATGCGTAAATGTATAAATTACACAGAAAAGCAGCAGTAAACCCATACATGAATGAACAGTAGGGGAAATGCATGATTGAGAGGGGAAGCAGAACTGACCAGTCAATGAATGATTACTGGACAGCTACTAGGTGTCAGGCATAGGACTAGGTTCTAGAAATACAATTTTGAACAGAACAGAGTCCCTGCACATGTGGAGCTTTTAAAATACTGAAAAGATAAACAAAATTTGACTAAAAAGTAGTTTACTGAATATAAATGCACAAAGCGCTATGGAAAATAATATGCAGGGCTAGCCTAGGCATTAAGAATCTAATCTAGTCTGGGTGTTAGAGAAGCTTGCCTAACCCAAGTGACATTTGAATTGGGACCCAGAATAGGGTTATACAAATGCCTGGTGGTGAGTACAGTGATCTAGGGAGAAGAAGGGGCATGTGGGAAGGCAACACATTCAAGGCACTGAAAGAAGGCCTGTGTGGCTGGAGTGAATCTAACCATCAAGCAGGAAAGGGGCCAAGCTGAGGAGGCTAAAGGGATCAACAGGAAAACCAGGAAATTTTAAATGCTGATTAAGAACAAAGCAAGTGAAAAACATAGGATCAAAGATTCCAGGGACTGAAGAAACTTAAAGGTCTCACTTAGTCCAACTACCCAGATGATACTAGAATCCTCTGCCTGTTTTCTATAACTGGATCAATGTGAATGGAGGCCAGATATAGGGCTCAGCATGGGTCACAGGAGGCTGGTGTAAGGAAGCAAATGAAGCACCTATGGAGCCCCAAGGCCTGAGGCAGGAGGGCTCTTGGTTCCATTTCTCTATCCCCAGATTATGAGTTGGAGCTTTCTGACTAATCAACCTGCTTATTTGTGTGATGACACCCTTATAGGATTGGCCAAGCTCATGCAGATGGCAACCATAGCTTGGTGGGAGGAGAACTACGCTGAGCAGATGTCAGAAAGGTTGGTTCATTTAGGAGGGCTTGGCTAGTTTGCATTCATGATAGAGATACCTATTGTGGAGGGCCAGGCAAGGCAAGGCAGCCTGTGAAGAAGCCAAAAGACAGCAATATCAGAATGCCCACCACCAAGCGACGTGCTGGCCCATTTACTCTGGCAGTAGAATCTGTTCATCACTGTTAGGGCAAATGCTTCTTATGCTAGAGGCAGGACAAGGAGGCTACTTCTGGGTGGTACAAATCAATATAACACTCATGTCTTTTTATGTCAGTAATGAAACCTGGACCCCTTTCCCCTTCATTTTCCTGTTTCTCACTGAATGGTAGAGCTAAGTGTGCTTGCAAAGGGTCCCGTGTCCATGTGATTATCATTAAACAGCATTTACTAATAAGCATTCCACACTATGAAGACCCCTGTGGTGGCTCAAGAAACAAAAAAACAGAGGTCTCTGCAGCTGAGTGGCTCACAAATCCAGACGAGGAAAGTAGAAACATGCACCAGAAGGTAAAGTATAACCTCAGATACCAAATGGATGTACATAAAAGAGCTAGGCTTTTTTTTTTCCCCAGAGTTTAAAGTGCAAGTGAGTTTTTTAGTGAAGGAGTAGGACAGAGAGAAGGCTACTCCATAGGCAGAGCAGCCAAGAGCTAGGCTTTGTGAAGGACTATCAACAGTGTGCAACCTTCTGGCATCTCTGCACCACTTGTAGAAGAGTTGTCTTGGGCCACACATTAAATACAATGGGACATGTAATCACAAAAATATCTCATACTGTTTTAAGTAAATTGATGATAAATTGATGATTTTGTGTTGGGCTGCATGCACAGCCATCCTGGACTGCATGCAGCCCGTGGGCCGCAGGTTGGACAGTCCTGGCTAGATTGTTGTGGAATAAATTAACCCCAAGCTTTCTTTTTTTTTTTTTTAAGATTTTATTTATTTATCTTTAGAGGGGAAGGGAAGGAGAGAGGGAGAGAAACATCAATGTATGGTTGCCTTTCGTGTGTCCCCTGCTGGGAACTGGCCTGCAGGGAACTGGCCTGCAACCCAGGCATGTGCCCTGACTGGGAATCGAACCACATTGTCTGGTTTGCAGGCCCATGCTCAATCGACTGAGCTACACCAGCCAGGGCTAACCCCAAGCTTTCTTAAGGAGCTGGCATTTGATCTGGGAGTCACATTGGAGTCAGGTGTGGTGAGGAGGTGGGAAAGCATTGGGGAATAGGGGAAGAGGAACGAGGTGAGACCAGGGGCTTCTGACAAAGGAAGGAGTAATGGGAAATCAGATTTGAAAGGTAGAGAAAATCATGAATTATCCTGATGGTAGACAAAGGCACTCTGAACTTCAATTTTATTATGAAGACAGAGAGAAGCTACTGAGGGTTTCCAGGCAGGAATTCTAGAATAGCTATGCTGATTGAAATGTGCAAAATAATTTGAATGAAGAAATTGGGGGTGGGGGTGGGAAAGGCAAGGAAACCAGTTCAGAGATCAACATATGGCAGGATTTGATAATTGTTCAATTTTTCCCCCTTTCCCTCTCTCTCTCTTTTTCTGAAAGAACTGGATTAGAGATATTTCCCTTAACCTCCCATGGAAATTTAAGGAAAAGGAAATAAAAGTTTTCATTGTAGTGATAGAGGTTTGAGATTTTATAAATACCATCAAGACTACTGTAGAAGAATACAATAGAAGCTAGAGCTTGTGGACAGTTCTCAGAGCAGCAAGATGCCGGGAAGTGCTTCAAGCATACTAGAGATTCCGCTCAGTTGTAGATAAGGTGATTTGTAGGACCTAGAACAGGCCTTGCTCCCTGGGAGCACCTGAGAAGGGAACACAACCCTAGAGAGGGCTGGCTGTATGATGCAACTAGGAGACAGGACCCTAGACCACAGGACTCACAGCCTCACCAAAGAGTCAAGGAGGAAAAATAGGAAGTCAGAACCTGGACTGGGGAAGGATGGTGTGAATGATGAAACAGCAGGTATTTCAGCAATAAGTAGCAATTCAAAGCCCCCTCTAATCTCCTGGCAAAATATAAGATCCGGGAACCAGAATCCAAGTCTAAAGATGTTAAAAATTTCCACCAGTCAGATGGGGTAGAAGTGTATAATTGGAGTTTACCTTTATTTAAGATTGTAACTAAATATGAAACTTCCCAGATACATGAATCTATAAACTGAGAGTCATACCTGCTATAAATTGCTATAGTTCAAGCGTGAAAGGATGACACCTAGATTAGAATTACTGCAATGAGAAGAAAAAGACAAAAAAGTGCTAAAGATATTATGCAGAAATCAAGAACAGGACTTGATCTGCCCAGAATCTACAGAAAATCCCAGCGCATATGGAGAATGTAGGATGTTTCTCTTGCCTGTCACTCTCTCCCCTTAGGCATCCCTGTAGGAGACTTAAGTAAATGCTTTGTATGTTATAGTCAGTCTTAGCACCCATAAATTATGATGAAATGCAACTTTAAAAAGCTTTGTTCTCTCTCAAGGCTGTAAGTGCTCAGGTACATAGGGTAATAATAGGAAAAAAAGATGAGATTTAATCAGAGTTTCTACATGTCAAATAGTGTGGGTACTAGCAATACTGAGACTGATAAAGCTGTTCTTGTCTTTGAGATGCTCACAATTTAGTGGAAGGGATAAGCATGCTGACAAATAATTAGACTACCTCATGTGTGTCATAGCACAACTGGGGACAAATGTTCTAGAAGCATAGAGGATCAAGTGACAAGCCCTGCCTCAGGAACCCAGAGAAGGCTTTACAGAGAAGGTGAGAAATGAGTTTTCCAGGACAAGTGGGAGCTCAATATTTGGATAAGAAAGAGAGCATTTCAGGTCGTGGAAAAGGTATACACAAGGCATGGAGGCATAAAGAAATAGTGAGTTTACAGTGGAGATGGGGGAGAAGAGATGAAAAGGAAGTTTGGAGGAATGAGCTGCCTAGTATTTTCACAAGATTGACTAAATTACAAAGCAAATTATTCAAATTTGCTTCATTCAAATTATTTTGCACATTTCATCAACAAACAAGTGTTGGCAAAGATGTGGAGAAAAGGGAAAACTCATGCCTTGTTGGTGAGATTGCAAATTGGTAAAGCCACTGTGGAAAACAGTATGGGGGTTACTCAAAAAACTAAAAATAGAATACCACTTCAGAGTGTGTATGTGAAGAAATCCAAAATACAAATTCAAAAAGATATATGCACCCCTATGTTCACTGCAGCATTATTTACAACAGCCAATGTATGGAAGCAACCCAAGTGTCGATCAATAAATGAGTGGATAAAAAAAGCAGTGGTACGTATCTACAATGAAATATTACTCAACCATAAAAAAGATTGAAAATAAATGTTACCATTTGCAACAAGATGGATGGGACTAAAGGGTATTATGCTAAGTGAAATAAATCAGATAGAGAAAGACAAATACCATATGATTTCACTTACATGTGGAATTTAAGTAACAACATAGCCATGACTGGTGTAGCTCATTGGGTTGGATGTCATCCTGAAAACCAAAAGGCCACTGGTTAGATTTCTAGTCTGGGCACATGCCTAGGTAGTGGGCCAGGTCCCAGGTTCGGGGTGCACAAAAGGTAATGGATCAATGTTTCTCTAGCATATCAGTGTTTCTCTCCGTTTCTTTCTCCTTCCCTTCGCCTCTCTCTAAAAAAAAGAAATAAACAAAATATTTTAAAAAATAAAATAAAGAACAATATAGCCCTGCCTGGGAAGCTCAATTAGTTAGAGCATTGTCCTGATATGCCAAGGTTGTGGATTCAGTCTCTGGTTAGGATACATTCAAGAACCAACCAATTCATGCATGGGTGGGTGGAACAACAAAATAGATGTCTGTCTTTCTCTCTCTTCCTCTCGCTCTTAAATCAATAAATAAAAAAAGCTTGAAATGAACAAACAAAACAGAAAGACTCATAGCTACAGAAACAAACTGATGGTTGTCAGATGGGCGTGGGGAGGGAGACTGGATGAAAAAGGTCAAGGCATTAAGAACTACAAATTGGTACTTACAAAATAGCCATGGGGATATAAAGTACAGTATAGGGAATAGAGTCAATAGTATTGTAATAAATATGTCTGGTGCCAGGTGGCTACTAGACTCATTGGGGGATCACTTCATAAATTATGTAAATGTCTAACCATTATGCTATATACCTGAAACTAATATAAATAATATTGAATGTCAACTATAATTGACAAAAAATAAATAAGTAAATAAAATTTAAAAAGTACAAAGGTCACATGAGTGATTTTGCAAATTCACTATCGGTTAGGACCTATTTCTAAGCGTCAGAGTTGAAATTCACAGGGTTAACAGGGATTATCTCATCAAAGAAGAAAACTTGACTGTACTCAGTGAGAAAGATCTATCTGGAACTGGTCCCTACCATCATCCCTGATAGACACAGCAGGGGTGGCTGCTCACACATATACACCAAAGGAATTCTGTGGTGCACCAAAGAGAAGTCAGTGGGTTATCTGTGACATCATATGGCCCTCTGCTGGAGATGACACAAAGGGATAAGATATAAGATGCTTAACTACCCTTAGAATACTTAACAGCCTCAGGCAAAACTTCGTTTTTCTGTTTTTGTCTTTGAAGACCTCACCAAAAGCACTCACATGTTTTCCTTCTTGAATAATATCAAACTCCACAGCCTTCTTCATCTACCAGATGGGCAACAATGAGGGAAAACCCTTCAGTTTAATATCCATATTCCAGTAGTCTGGATAAGGCCTGGGAACTTAAAGAGGCACATCACACTGCACAGCTTTCTGTCCTGGGGAATCACTTCTCTTCAGGCCTTCCTCTGTCTTTGGCTCCAAAGACACAGGCAGTGTGAAAGAGGGCTATGCTTGCCTATTATCCATGGTAACTTCATGTAAAATAATGGCACAAAAAGAAATATCCCCCAAAACTTCAAGGAGTTTTTTCCTAATAATGTGCCTCAAGATTTACCGAAATGTCTGAGTCTCATTTTCACCACATTAAAGTCTGGATTGCAAATGTGTGTAGGTTATGTGTTTTGTGATGGGTTTCTGAGAGAATTCAGAAATTGGGAAAGAAAAATATTATTATTGATAGATTCTTTGAGGGTAAAGAGAGGGTCCTAGAAAACTGACTTCAACTAAAAACAGAAAGGTAATTTGGTATGACTCTTCAAATAAAAGGTGCATTTGATTTTGAAAAATAACCATTGAGACTCACATTTTTGTGTTTAATAACCACCTTGAATTGGTCTGCCTCAGAGGACAGTGTGATTCTGAGCTACCTTAGCATGATTTACAACATTCATGAACTTGGCAACTACATCAGTTTTTTTCTAAACCTGGCACCCAACACCATCTGCATGTTAAGTGAAGATTTATGACTTATAAAATTCAGCTCATTATGCAGAGGTACATGAATTGTCTTATACATGCAGTCTATAACAGCCAAGACAGATAAGGAGGCAGCTATGTCACAGAATTTATGGCACCTTCTTGTGAAAGCTAAAGCTTTGGAGAAAAACAAGAGAAATAACTGACCCTTTAGAGAAAAATAGAAAAATAGCTCTAGCTAATCATTACAACCCAAATGAACCAGCTGTAGCCCACCACTATATCTTACAGTGGCTAACAGTGAAAGTCACTGTAATGACAATACTGAACTATGTCTATATTGTGATCGCAGCAGTAATAGCAGAACCCAAGTTACTCTTTGGAAATATCAAGCACTCTGTCAGTTTTTCTTTTTTTTTCCGAGTCTGGTGTCTGAGACCTCTTGCTGAGATTTCTCCTCAAATAACCCAGACAGACCCACAGACATGAAGAGAGAATTAATTCAATACCTTGGTGTGCCCAATGGCTTCCTTCATGCACCCTCAGAGTGAAGAAAAGGAAATGCTGGTTTAGGTTCTGAAATGCAGCTTGTTTTCAGAGATATTTTAGAAATGCAGCAAACACACACGCAGCCTCATCCACAGCCTCTCTCCCCATACCCTGCAAAAAAAAAAAAAGTAGAAGCACAGAAGGTTCAGTAGAATAAACTTATGAATCTCAAGGATGAGATTATATAGACAGCCATTAAAAATGACAAGTATATGGGACCAGTTGACAGGTAGATATCTTTAGACAAGATAACGCTAAGCATAAAAAGCAGAACACAAAAATGGTAAGCACATATGCCAACTGGAAAAAAGCAAAGTGACAGAAAAAATGTTTCAGCCTAGAGATTGTCAATAGTATAAAGCTTAGCAGAAAACAATAAAATTCTAAGTAATTTATTTTCAAATACCCCTGTCAATCAGGAAATAGACACATATACATGGCTGCTAACTGCCCTGAATCCAAGAAATACCTACCCGGTCCCTCTCTCCTCTGCACAACTCCCTGAACAGCATTCCGCCCTCCCTGGCCTTTGAGAAGATAGAACACCGGCACTCAAATACCTGAGGGCAAACAAAAAAAGCTGAAAATATAAGTAGGGGCAGGAAAATTACTTGGAAAAAGGAAAGTGGGGAACCCACTTCCAACTTTAATAACTAATTATTAAGTCTCTTCATTTATGAAATGTGTCTGGGATTTGTCCAGTTCTGACCTTCAGCTCTGACAATACCCTACGTCTACTTGTCCCAATGTGGTTGTTCTAACTCATGAAAATAACGTCCTACTCACAAAATAGAACAACACTTTATGCATTAGGAAAATTGAAGCCTCTTTGGCCACTGGGAGTATATCCAAGAGTAAAGTATCTGCATGGAGAAGAACTTCGTTTGGGTTCAGTAGCAACTCAGTTACTACTTCTCATTAAGCTACCTGTAAATACCTGGCCAATCACATACAGGTGCTGTTCTCCAGGGTTCTGAGTACTGGTGCTCTGTTAGCTGCCTTTAATCCTGAGAGTGAACACTCAGCTCAGGCCAGGGAGTCATGCTAAAAATGGAATTAGAGAGAAGTGAGAAGCACTAAACATACATACATACATTCGCATCTATATCCTGGCACAGCTGCCTGGGGCAGAGCTGACTTCCTTCTGGGTAAGCCATGCAGAGCTGCTGAGAACACACACAGCCGCATCCACAGCCTCTGTGAAGCCACCTTTGCACTTTTCCATGCTCAGAAATAGTTCATAATTCTATGATAGAAGACATGTGTTTATAAGACCCATGGGCAGCTGTCATGCTCACAGATCCCCCCTTTCCTCTGAAAGGGTCATGGGTTCCTTCCAGATAAAATGCTTGCTTCACATCAGGTAACATAGACACACACAGTCACCATACCCATCCCAACTGCTAATTGAATAAAACAAGAAATTGGCACATAAACCAAAGGCCTATAAGCTGATCCTTGGGACAACCTGTCACTTTCCTACGCCTTTATTCTGCTCAATAAAGGCTCTCTATAGGGATGGTGTAAATTAAGCCACACAGAACAGTAACAATGGAGGTGCAAGCAGCCCAAGGGACGCACTGAGGCATAGGAAGGAAGCATTCCAATGTACTTATATTTATTTTTATCTTTTACATTTTTATTTTCTATTTTCATATATGTTTAATAACAGTACTACATACATATACAGTTGAGCCTTAAAAAACATGGGTTTGAACTGTGTGGGTTCCACCTACACATCATTGCTTTTCAATAAATACTATAAGCATATTTTATCTTATGATTTTCTTAATAACATTTTCTTTTCTCTACCTTACTTTGTTGTAAGAATACGGATAACATACAAAATAAGGGTTAGGAGGGTGTTTATGTTACTGGTAACTCTTCCAGTCAATAGCAAGCTATTAGTGGTTGTAGACTGCTGGGGGTGGGGGATGGTGAGCACCCTAATCCTCAAGTTGTTCAAGAGTCAACTGTATATAGTTTATAAACACATAAATATACACATATGCCCTGGCTGGTGTGGATCAGTGTTTTGAGCACTGGCCTGTGAACCAAAGAGTTGCTGGTTTGATTCCCAGTCAGGGCACATGCCTGGGTTGTGGGCCAGGTCCCTGGTTGGGGTCATGCAAGAGGCAGCCAACTGATGTTTCTCTCTCACACTAAAGTTTCTCTTCCTTTCTATCTCCCTCCTTTCCACTTGCTCTGAAAATAAATAAAATACCTGAAAATAAATAAATATACAAATAGTGGAGGTATGTGCTCAAATATTTTTTTAATAGGGATGTGTAATAAGAAAGTTTGGAGACCAGAAGACACCATTGTGCTCGAGGTGTTTCTTTGTAAGGTATGGTCCTGATCCCCACCCTGCCCCCATCAGAATCCCCCGTGGAAGTTGTTAAACATACAGATTCCTTGACTCATGTCTGTCTACAGAATCTGAATCTCTAGGAGTGTGATGCTTTAAAGAACTTCCCAGTCTTATACTACTGGAGTTTGGGAAACACTGCAATAGAAGAATTAGAAAAGCAGGCATAAACAAGATGAGCTACGGAAGGGGTAGAGTCAGAGCAGATGGGAACATCAAAAGCCCACTTAACTGGCAGCGATAAGCAGATCCTCCTGGGGCCTGACCAAGTAGAGGCCAACGTCCTTGTTCTTCCAGAACTCTGGCTCTAAACGTATTAAGACAATGCCTGTACTTTCCTAACTAGCTTTCATTTAAATCCTCGCCACCTAAAGAAACCTGGGCACTTCCTCTCCTGATGTTTAAGGAGCAGGGGTGTGGAATCTTAGAAACCAATAGTCCTTCACATAGACAGAGCATATAACCCACGTGAACTGAAAAGATAGCTGACATAATTTCACTAGTCATGTACATTAAGGAGTGAGAATGAGGTAGGAAGAAGGAAGTGGAGCATATTGACCAGAGTTTTCTGTAAGCATTTTAAAAAAGTCTTGTATTGCCCTGGCTGGTGTAGCTCAGTGGATTGAGCATGGGCCTGTGAATCAAAGGGTCACCAGTTCGATTCCCAGTCAGGGCACATGCCTGGGTTGCAGGCCAGGTCCCCAGTAGGGGACACATGAGAGGCAACCACACATTGATGTTTCTCTCCCACTCTTTCTCTTTCCCTTCCTCTCTCTCTAAAAATAAATAAATATTTAAAAATATTAAAAAAAAAAGAAAGTCAGCTATCAAGGACACGTCCTTGAGTTAAAAAAAAAAAAGGTCCTGTATTGATTAGACATTTCATATGAAACCACGTGGGTGATTTCTTAAAAGCATACCAAGTAAAAAGGAAGGCTGTGGAGAAGCTAGCACTGTGTGACCATGAACAAACCAAATATTCTCTCTGCTCCTCATCTATTACAAAAGAGGATAGACTTTTAAATGATCTAAGGTACTTTCTGTGTTTCTATAACCCAAAGTTGGACTCAATTCCTAGTTCAGAGCTCCTTTTACTATATCATGCTGATCAAGAATAAATTAAAATTCTGGCCCTTTAAACTAAAACATTTAGAAAAGGCTCCAATATCCTTAAGAATTAACTATTAAGTGGATTTTCATAAAGAAAAAAACTCTGCTTTTGTCAGCCCTACCTCCACGCCTAAGAGGGACTTCATTTACAGGTCCTCGACATATCCAGTAGCCACCTGCTTCCCAAATCTGAATGAAAATCCAAAGATTGACTGATCTTTACTCTGTGCAATGGACTGCATTATCACTGGGATATAAATGTTCTAACTAATGAAAGTGTCATTTTATTTTGATTTATTGCTGCCTCACTTTCTTTCAGGGTCACTCTCTATTTCTTTTTTTTTTTTTTCTCCTATCAGAAGGAGGGCAGGTTGAGAAGTTACCTGGCATTCAATGAAACCTGGTAATTGTCACTAACACTGGGGACAGAGATACCACCTAACGTAACACTCCCCATGTTTCGAAAGACTTGAATTGAGTTGCACCATGTAATGCACTCCAATAGAGTGTAGCTGATGCCAAAACGGAAAAGTGAGAACTGTTTCCGGAAATCTGCTACAGGTACACGAAAAATTCCAAGATCAAAAGTGACACATCCTTGCCATATGCCACATTTTTATTTCATAAAGATGGAAGATGCCACAGCAGGATACTAATCTTCAGCAAGACTGAATAAAATGTCATCTGAGTCACCAGTTTAAAGAGATTTTCCTTTAAAATGAACTCGATCCTATGAGTTATTTTACAAATTGAGCTTTCTTTATAGTTATCCTGAAACCTAAACTATGCAAAAACTTAAAAAAGTATTTCTAATATTTTACTCCATTGCCTAAAATAACTGTTAATAACGAATTAGGCAGGTATTATAAAATCTATCTTCTGTATATGTGGAGGTAAAAGATCAGATTCAGTTTGGTTATGAGGCAGTGGAGTCTAATGGTTAGCACTACAGGTGGTGGAGTCATACAGTCTGGCTTTAAACTCTGGCTTTATCATTCTGTTATGTGACTTTATCATATACCATTATGTGACCTATATAACAACTCTAAGCCTCAGTTTCTACATCTGCAAAATGGAAATACCAATAGTATTTACTTAAGACTATTGTTGTGAGCATTCCATTAGCTAATGAATTTAAGACAATACGTGGCACTTAACCAAACATTTAACAACTATTAGTGATTACCATCTAATGACAATTCCTATTCATGGCTGAGAGTTATTTAAACACTAAAACTAGTTCCCTACCTTCCAATATGCTAAAATATTATGCTAGTTAAAATATAACTTAAAATATGGTAAGGACAGGTATTAGACAGCCACCTGTTCTGTCTGGTAAACATTTACCCACACTCAAATCATGTAGCAGCTCCTTTCACTTTTCAGTGCGACACTGACATGACAACAGAGAAATAAAATACAGTACCGTGCTCTATGGTTAAGAATCATACCACCTGGCTGTGGATCTAACCAACCATTCCTATTCATTTGCACCCTATTTCTTTTTAGACGCAGGCTCATTTCTTCAAGCCATTAGGCTGTAGGCGAGATTAATTTACAAAGCAGTCCAGAAGTCTCCTCTCCAAACTGGCAAACACAATACAGCCCCATTCTCAGGCTCCTGCTTTCATTATCTAGAGCTATCACATCCCCCTAGTGGTCATGGCGAGAATTTGCCAAGCTCTAGGGGAAACCACCAGGAACTCGTACACACAGAATCGTGGTCTCAGACACCCTTTAGCTAACACCGTATGATCCCTGGATTCCTTTAACGAACACTTTGTGGCTTTTGAATGTATGCAACAAGAATGGGAAAAAAGCAAACTCTCAAGAGAACCATTTGAGACGAGAATGAAATTACTCCAGTTATTCCACTTGTCCTCCTCCCTCCGTCATATACAACACAAGGATGTAAAGTTTTCAATTTCTATGTTGCTGCAATGTTTAATATTATTTCTGTCATTCCTATGTCCTCTTTCATCAATATATTGTTTTAGAATATTGATCTCTACAAACAGGGGTCATTAGCCTGTGACTTTGATGACCTCATCAAAATCTACTCCTGAAGGAATTTTTAAAAATATAAACGAATGTTAAGTAAACTGGAGAGGATAAGATAATAAGAGCTAACACTTAAAGGGGGGGCTTTAATAAAATCCGTATATTCTATAACCATTTTTGTTTCTTATTCTCACTTCCACCCCCCTCACAATATAAACTTATCTCTTTTCTTCCCCAACTTTCCTTCACAATTCCTCACCCAGTTATCACTCAATAGAGGAGTACCTTCCCTTCTGAAATGGGACTTTAAAAGTTTGAAGGGCAACTTGCTTCATTTGCAAAATCAAGCTCCATCTATGATCAGTGAATTCACGCTTTCTCCTCACCGGATTCTCACTACATGGAACGGTATCTGATACATGATGGGCACTCCACTACATATTTGTTGAATCAGTCACTTTTCCTGCTTAAAAATCTGAAACTGGTCACAGCTCTATCGCCACTGCCATCTTGTTACAGAACCCAGAACCTCTGTCCGCGGCAACCAGCGCAAGATTTGAAACGGGCCTGAGGGGGCTCAGTGAGGACCAGCGCAGTCACGCGGGGGAAAAAGCCTGAGCGCAGTTATTTTTTTCTCTTGAGGGTTTGCACGATAATTAGACTAGTGTAACCCAATGCATTGTGTGAGCCAAAGGCTGCTATAGGAGCTCGAAGCCCTAGAACGCTGTGATAAAACCCAGAACGAACGTCAAAGGTCTTTGCAATACCAACAAGCAGCCAGAAAACGAATGAAGGACCGGAAGGAGCAACATACATTTTGAGCCTAAGGTTTACATTATGACAAAGACCCAGGACAAGATGGCGCCCTCCCCAAGGAGAAGTTGCAGGGAAAACGTCCACGCGCCAGGAGTGTGAACGCGCCTGGGCTCGTCCCCGGCTACATTCGGCCCTAACTCACACGCCCTGGGGCATCCAATGAGTGCTGTAGTTAAACTCCACCCCCGTTTTTCCGCCACTCCCTGGGCGCCCATGCTCCTTGCACTGAGAAGGGTACTAGCTGCGCAGGCGCAAAAGGCCCTTCCACTCACGCAACCAACGAAAGGAGTCTGTAATCGCTGCGCAATTTATCCCGTGTGACCTTGAGGCTTTGCTGCCTCGGAGGACCCGGGCTGTCCAATGTATTGCCTTTTTACCTCTCTTAGACTCCTCGCCTCTCACTAAGCCCATACCTGCCGCAGCCAAAACGGAAGAACATACTTTTTCAACCACCACAGTGCGGAGTGTATTAGTCGTACGTTCTGACTCTGGGAGCAGAGGTCAGGTAGTATTTGGTCCGGCAGCGTTGGCAGCGCCGCAGCGGAAGAGCGGACCTCCTGGACCCAGCGACCAACCCCCGCCCCCGCCACCCCACGTGGTTGGAGGTTTCCAGAAGCGTATCCAGCGCCGCGCAGCGCAGCTCTAAGGCTGTCGGAGTGACTGTTTGCTGTCTCGTACTTTCACCATTTAGCCGCCATGATCAACGCTAGCCGGTCCGCGGCATCCCGTCTTACCTGCGCTGCAGCCTTCCGAGGCCTCACGGTCGCCCGCCACCAGGTAAGAAGCTGCCGGGCCTTACCCGAGGGGCTCACGGCTCATGGTGTTGGACCTTGGAGCTGCGAGCTCTGCGTCCTTCGGGGTCAGAATCCTGTGGGAGAGATCAAGTGGAAAGGCAGATAATGGGCATTCCGTAATCAGCGCCACCAGTTCAAGTCCTATTTCAGGGTTTTGCCTCTTTGTCTCGGGCCTTGCTGAGTCACACCCTTACCAGCACGTAGTCTTACTTCACGAAGTGGTCTTGATAGTACGTTCGATAGCTGATGGACAGGTTTGGCGTTGGGCGCGAGGGACGCAATTCTAGTTGGGAGGGAAAACCGCTATTCTAGTTTGTACTTTCACCTACGAGTCGGAGAAGCCGGCCCTTCTCTTAAAATACAGTGTGCAAGGACCTCATTGCTATGATGAAATAAAGGAAAAGAGCACCTTAATCGAAAGTCAAGCTCCGACTTTTTTTGCTTAGAAACGTTTGTGTAGTTAATTCCTTAGTCTTAGGAGTAAGATTGCTCTATGTTATTTCAGAAAATGTAAGCAGGCTAGGAAAAACCGTGGCGTTCGTTACCTTGTAAGTTCAGAAACTTAGATCTTCGGAAAACTGGAATTATCTTACTGCTCTCACGTGGGGTTAAAGGAAGGCATGAGAGTAGGCTGAGGTTAGGTTGTAACAAAGGTCTTCTTTCTTTGATCCTGATTGGAGGCTGCCCCTGAAAGAAATATTTTTAAAAACTGATTCCATAAGATTTTTAATCGTATCCCTTTAAAGCAGTTGCTTGGCAGAGTCGGGGGAAATGACTTGGAATAAGTTAAAATCCGTACCTAAAGTACAGAAGTACAAATGTAGGGCTTAGGTGTACACTGCTTCTGACAATGAAATTGAGGAATTTCTCAGTAGTATTTGTAATGCAGTGATTCACAACCAGGGACAGTTTGGTCTCTGTAGGGGACATTCGACAATGCCTAGAGATAATTTTAGTTGTCACGTCTTGGAGAGCCATGTTACTGGCTTCTAGTGGTAGAGGCCCAGGATGCTGCTAAATATTCTGCAATGTATAGAACAGGCATCTCCTCTCTGCACCACTCCCCCCGCCCCCACAATAAATATTTGGTTCAAAGTCAATAATGCCAATGATGAGAAATCATATTGTAATATAATTCAAGACTATTACGTATCTACTTCATTTTATCTACTTACTTTTATCTGGTTTATTTGGAAAACTCATACTTTATTACATTTGTTTTCTGTTTCAGTACCACAGTGCCTCTTACACTTAAAATATTTATCATTTCAGTATACTTTATACATGATGCCACTTAATAGAATGAAAGTCTTGAATTTTCATTTGTTCTTCAGAAGAATAATTGGAACAAGCCAAAGATTTCATACATAGTAATGGCTGATGCAACTTTTTTCTTTCTTAGGATGGCTGGAATGGGCTTAGTCATGAGGCTTTTAGAATTGTTTCAAGGCGGGACTATGCGTAAGTGTAACTTCATTTTCTTTGAGAGATAAGTATGAAACCCCACAGCAGTGGTCTCCGCGATTGATGATTCTGCTCAGAAAAAAAGACACAGATTATGTAATGTGCCACTATTCCCACAGTACCAAATATTTTCTTACGTATTTCTGTATTTTGAAGACCACTACTAAGATGATAACTGTAGCATTGTTTTAAATATCTCACAGATCAGAAGCAATCAAGGGAGCAGTTGTTGGTATTGATTTGGGTACTACTAACTCCTGTGTGGCAGTTATGGAAGGTAAACAAGCAAAGGTGAGCAAGCATAATTGGAAGCTCTGGATCATATAACAGTAGCAATACCCAATTTGGAATTCCGTGTCATTTGGCTTAGATAAGGGACATTTTTAGAGCTGCTTTTAAGTTTATAAGGCTCTTGTGAAGTAAACCTTTGTGCTCAATTGCATAGTGCTGATAATTGAAAAGATTTGACTACCCAGGATTTAAGTGTGTCCTCCTGGACTAATTGTATCCTCTTGGACTACTAAATTACCATTAGGACCCATTGGGATGACCTGCAGCTATATTACAGGTTACTTCTGTAATCATTCCTGTACTTCTGTAAGTCATTTAAACCAAGGTTAGAGGTGCAGAAATAGTTTAGAAGCAAGTGGAGCTCCACATAACACATGGAATGAATCCTGTGTAAAGAATGTTATTAGGGAGTTGCTTTGATAACAGGCTATTCTCCCAGAAGAGTCCTTTTTCCCTTTAGGTTCTTAAGAGTTAAAGCACCTGGGATTCTTGAATTGCTTCTTGACAATTTTTTTATATTCCTGAAACTTGCAGCCATTACCAAAAATTGAGTAGTAGATTTAATTGTCTAGCAAAGAAAGATTACCTTGTCCCTACATTGACTGAAAGATCTGATTTATATGTATTCTTGTGGGGGCAGGGGAGGGGCGTTTCTTATATTTTTTCCGTTACAAGTTATTTCAAAGTAAAGCGTTAAAGTTACTTAAACATCCACTATCTGTAGTAGAAGAAAAGCGCCCTTTAAAAAAGAAAGAAAAAGAAAAGTGCCCTTTGGTGTACTATTCTTGAGCATTTGCAATTTGATATCTGTTTTTTTCTTAAATGGTTAATGCTTAATGAGGTTCTATGGTGACCAGAACCTCATTCTCTGTCTTACTTTGGGTGTTTTAGGTGCTGGAGAATGCTGAAGGTGCCAGAACCACCCCTTCAGTCGTGGCCTTTACAGGAGATGGTGAGCGACTTGTTGGCATGCCAGCCAAGCGACAGGCTGTCACCAACCCAAACAACACATTCTATGCCACCAAACGTCTTATTGGCCGGCGATATGATGACCCTGAAGTCCAGAAAGACATGTGAGTAATAGCAAAAGCATAGTTATTTGCAAAGGCCACATAGAAGACTCTTCTTAGCAGGATCCCTGGAACACCTTACCTTAGTAATTTTACATGTCCCTGGTAGCAAGCCCTGCCCATGCCAAAAGGATACCTATCCAAAAAAATTCACTCTGCTTCCACAGTTAAGGTCTTTGCTGTGTATAGACAAGGTCTGTGAAGATTTGGCTAGTCATTCCTGAACCATGTAAATTGGAATTAAACTCATAAAGCAGTTAGTGGCACAGGCTTCATGATGTTTTCAAGGTTTGTTCATGTAGTATGTATCAATAATTCATTACTTTCTATAGCCAGTAATGTTCCATTGTGTGGATATATACCACATTTTGTTTATCCACTTAACAGTTAGTGGATATTTGGGTTGTTTTCATTTTTTAGCTATAATGAATAACACTGCATACAGATTTGTGTGTGGTCATGCTTTCATTTCTCTTGGCTAGACACCCAGTGATGGAATTTCTGGGTCCTGTGGTGGTAACTGATCGTTTTACAAAGCAGCTGCAGGTTAACAGGAAGCTAAATAACAAAATAAACAAGCAAATAGAATAAAAACAAAGACACTAAAATAGAGAACAAGTGGGCAGCAACCAGAGGGGAGAGGGAAGGGGGAGAGGGAAGGGAATTTAAGGGGAAAAACGGGGAGGGATTTTGAAGAACAAGTATGAAAGACACAGGGATGAGGACTGTGGGGGTGGGGAATGGGAGGGAGGTGGGGAGATGGGGGGGGCTGGGATGGGAGAAATTGACCAAAAAAAACCTGTACTTGAAAAATAACTAAATAAATTTTTAAAAATTAAAAAAAAAGAAGTATATGAAACAAAAAAACAAAGCAGCTGCATGAATCTTTTGTTTGGTGGGAAGTAAAAAATGTTCAGGTTTCATCAGGATGTTTTAATGTGTTAATGTTTACTTTCTAAAGGTTTTCATTAAATGAATTTCTCATTGGCCATGGATCTTTTGGGATGGAGGGTGGGCATTCATGGTGTATAGTAACCTTATATGGTACATTGTACTAGCACGTTTCTTCAGATACAATTTTTGTGTCTTGCAGTAAAAATGTTCCCTTTAAAATTGTTCGTGCCTCCAATGGTGATGCCTGGGTTGAAGCTCACGGAAAGCTTTATTCTCCAAGTCAGATTGGAGCATTCGTTTTGATGAAGATGAAAGAAACTGCAGGTGAGAAGGTTTAGTTCACATCTGGGGAATGTCTCTGACATAATTAGCTTTCATATCCCAGTGTCCCTTGGATGAGTCTGGTGACTTTTATTCAGAAAATGAGGAATGGCGAAACTTGGTTACTCTTCATACTTTCCCTGCAGAATGAATGTATCTCCCAAGTTTCCCTACTGGTGGCTTTTGTGTTTATTTTCCCAGTACGGGAGTATTGTACTGAAAGCCAAAAGACGGCCCTGGCTGGTGTAGCTCAGTTGATTGAGTACGGGCCTGCGAACCAAACGATCACGATTCGATTCCCTGTCAGGGCACATGCCTGGGTTGCAGGCCAGTTCCCAGCAGGGGACCCATGAGAGGCAACCATACATTGATATTTCTCTCCTTCTCTCATTCCCTTCCCCTCTAAAGATAAATTAATAAAAATTATTTTTTGAAAAAAAGAAAGCCAAAAGACTATATGTTACACTGTACATACATTGTCTCTGTAAGGTAAAACTTAGAACTCCATACTTGAAGAAACTAGTAGCCACTTTAAGTAATTGTAGTTGGTGAACCTTCACTACAGTGTTGGAGGTGAGATCTTGGCTTTTAGCCAGCGTCTTTATTTGGAGTGTTTTCCAACAAGATTACTACATGTTAGATCACAAGCTGAAAGACTGATGAGTGCTATTTTTTGCTCCAAGAGGATGACACAGGTTGTTAGGCTACATTAATAATTCTGATTCTGTTACCTGTTTTATCTGACAGAATTGCATGAGTAGGTTCATTTCTTGCTTCTTTTCCAGAAAATTACTTGGGGCATACAGCAAAAAATGCTGTGATCACTGTCCCGGCTTATTTCAATGACTCTCAAAGACAGGTAAGTCAGTAGCATTTTTATTTAGGAAATTATTGGTACTAGGGATACAAAGGTGGAAAATGCTTTATTGTCTCTCTCTCTTTTTTTTTTTTTTTTTTTTCCAATTTTTATTTTTTAGGCCACTAAGGATGCTGGCCAGATAGCTGGATTAAATGTGCTTCGGGTGATTAATGAACCTACAGCTGCTGCTCTGGCCTATGGTCTAGACAAATCAGAAGACAAAGTGTAAGCCTGTAAACCTCACCAACACTTACTTATCTCAAGTCATCATCTTGATTTCTTAGTGATTGAGCCTTCTTAGACTAAAAATGTACTGCCTTGACCTTCTTTAAGGCTGTGTAGTCTGTCGTGGGGTTTTTTTTCCCATTTATTTCTTTATTTACTTTTCAAGACCATTTATTTACTTTTCCCTCTAAGTACTGGTTTAATAAAGTCATTCCACACCCCCATCCCAGTCCTATCCTTTTTGATATGTATGTTGACAGGTATTTGTCCAAAAGAGTGATTGAATGTTCACAATTCTACTTTTAAATTAATTTATTTTAGCTGTATGTATACTTTACATGTAGCTGTTAGGACTGCATGTTAATGTCACTTAAAATTACTAAATTTAATAGTAATTATACTTTGGAGAAAATAGCCAAGTTTATGTATAGGGGCATAGGTTCCGTCATGTGCTGGTCAGACACGTTTTCAAGATTTTCTCCATGTTGTAGCATGTATCAGTACTTCATTACTTTGTTCTTTAAGGCCATCTTTTTTCTCTCTAGCATTGCTGTATATGATTT